TTCATGGACATCTGCATGGTCAACCTGGTCAGTGTCTGCTCCCGGCCTATGCTCTTAACCGGATCAGCAGATGTCTGGAAATGTCCAGGCTGTGCATATTGTCTGTGTGAGCCACTTTGTCCTGCCTCCCCTGGCCAGAGGGCTGTTAGCTGCTTATCACCAGCAGTGCTCCGGCTTCCTGATCACCTTTTGGTTTAGATACCAGTGTCCAGCATGTTCTGTCCCATGGGTGACAAGATCTTTTTCACCTAACAGTTTATGTTCTCCACAGTTTGTCATGTATCATTTCTGTCTGTTCTTTGTTTGTCTGTGTGGGGTTATACCCATCGTGCCACTTGCTTCTGGCTCTGTGCTCAGGGTTTGTCCTGGCAGAGCTCAGGGGACCATACACAGTGCTGTGTATGGTGCCCAGGCGGGCCATGTGTGCGCCAGGCACCCCGTAGGCTGGTCTGTTCTGCTGCTTTATTTCCATACTAATGCCTCTCCGTCAGACTCCGATCCTATGCTCCCAACTCATCAACACCCAAGATCTCTATCATGAACATCAAAATACCACCTTCATGCTCACTCTCCACACACTCACATGGAGCCTCACCCACAAGTAAATCCACAGAAAACCAAGGTATGCGGGACTTTATGACTGAAAACTCTGGGTTCAACAGAATGGGGAATGGGTTCTCTGCCAGTCTCCCTGTTTCTGGCAACCCAGCAGTCACGCCCATAAGCCACCTCTGGTGGCGCCAGATAATTTCATCATTATTCTTGAATAACTTTGGACTCTACTCAAGTAACCAAGCACAAGTGGACTTCCCCTAGCGACTGCCCACTGTGAATGTCCTATTGGTCCAGCAGGAGGAATACAGGACGGTAGACTCCTCCTGACCAGTTCTCCACCCACCCTGACAGGTGCTGGGAGCCCTCCTGTGCTTGGGTCCTTTGCTTGGCAGTAGGTTCAAACACTGCACCAGATTATAAAGTCCTTGGGCTCACTGAGCGTGTATTTCCCACTCCAAGTCTCTACCCACGTAGGAAGGCCCAGACATGGGTCACAGTGCTCAGGCATTTCACCTAACCAGTAGGTCTTTGCATGTCCCTTTTAGCTACCATTGGCCCCTTCCCCTGCCTCTAAGCCTTCCTCTGAGCAGCTCTTCAGTGCACAGCGCAGTCAGGGCTGCCTTAGCTCTGGAGTAAAACTATTAAGTAAAGGCACAGGAAATTCTGTATCTCTGTGTCCTTTGAAAATCTGAAGTTAAAGGCTGGAGAGAGAGAGACAAAAACAAACAAAAATTGGGGTGGGGGACAGAGTGGTAGTACATTGGGGAGGGTGTTTTACCCTGCATGAAGCTGACCTGGGTTCGATCCCTGGCATCCCATATATTCCCTGAGCAGCACCAGGGGTAATTACTGAGTGCAGATCCAGGAGTAACCCCTGAGCATCTCTGGTTATGGCCCCAAAACAAAAGAAACACCAGAAAAGGAAAATTTAAATTTATTATCTGGGTCTGTCCTCATGATGCAAACAGTATACCAATCACTTCTTTAGTCTTAAAAACTCTCCTTTCTGAGGGCCAGAAATGCAGCTCAGGTAGCAGAGCCCCTGGCTCCTTCTGTCCGAGACCCATCCCTAATAACCCTGGGTGTTCTGTAGCCTGCCCTGCTGCATTGAGGAAACTAACAGAGCCACAGATTCCTCACTCAGTCAAACCCAGGGTACCTCTGTCTTCATGAAACAAGCAAGAACAAAACATACCTCTCTCCCCTTGGCCCCCGGAATGCAGCTCCTGACTCCCTGTTTTGTTTCTTCCCAATTTCCTTTAAATTCTTTTCATCTACTTCAGATGTTCTGCTTCCTTTTCTGCTTTGCTTTGGCCTTTCCTGTAGTTCTCTGCCAGCCTCGGTGATTTCCTTCTGTTTTCTCACCCCACATACTTCGTGGGTGTTTTTCATCACATCTGTGTTTTTCTTACCTCCTTTACAGAGGCTTCCCAGGAACTGGTGGAACTTCCACCTGCCCCACCCTCCTGCCCCTGGGTTCTCTTGGTAGACCCCCTGAGAGAGATGGCAGGCAGCCCTTCGCTCTTTTTTCTTCTTTCTCAGATTTTATTTTGTTAAAGCACCGTGAATTACAAAGTCATTCATAGCTCAATTTTCCACACCCCGGAGTTTAGAGGTGAAGGAAAGAAACTGTTTTTCTTTTGACCTCTTCTTTCTCCTGCAGAACAGAATCCTGGTTGAATGACAGCAAGGAAAAGTGTTCAGTTGAAGCATTAACTGTAGGGCCCAGAGAGATTATATAGATCATATAAAGGGCAAAGTCTTGCTTGCAGGCAACTAGCTCCATCACATATGCATTTGGTCCTCAAAGCATTGAGTAAGGCTACAAAGACAGATTGCAGCCAGGGGAACATAGACCCGAGTTGACTGGTTCTGCCCTGGTAGAGCGGAGCTCCCAAGCACACTGGGACTGGACCCTCAGCAACCTTCTAGCTCTGTTTCAGTTACTCAGATTCCAATAACCCCAGACGAGCTTTAATATTGTGCATCTCAAGCATTTGAGTGGAGACCCCGTCCCCCCCCCCCCCAGATCACTTGAGTCTTCCTCATGCTCACTCTTTCCTCTCTCCTCCCTGTCAGCAATCCCACCAGCAGTGAATGAGGGTCCTTTTAACCCCATATTCACACTGTCACTGGTTGCTTTTGTTCTTTGTGATGTATGGACATCTTACTGGTATGGGATGATATTTTATTTTTGTTTTAATTTGCATTTCCCTGATGATGAGTGATGTAGAGCATTTCTTCACATACTAGTTGGCCATCTCTGGCTTTTCTTGAGGAAGTTTGTTTCTTTTTTCCCCATTTTTTCAGGGGGTTGACAGATTGTGAGAAAATAATTGCCCACCTCTCATCTAACAAAGGGTTGGTCATTGGTCACTGTCCTCCCATTGTTCATCGATTTGCTCAAGCGGGCCCAGTAACGTCTCCATTGGAGACTTTGTTGTTACTGCGTTTGGCATATCGAATATATCACGGGTAGCTTGCCAGGCTCTGCCATGCAGGCGAGATACTCTCGGTAGCTTGCCGGGCTCTCCGAGAGGGGCGGAGGAATCGAACTCGGGTCGACCATGTTGGCTGCGTGCAAGGCAGACGCCCTACCCGCTGTGCTATTGCTCCAGCCCAACAAAGGGTTAATATCCAAAATATGTAAAGAACTTATAAAACAGCAAGACAAAAAGTGATCTCTTTTGAATCTTTAATTTCTTATTTATATAAAATTGTTTAAGGCTCTGTGTTTGTATAAAATATACCTCCAGAGATTAAAAAATTAATCTTTGAAGCCAAAGGGATATTACAGGGGTCAAGAAGCTTGACTCCCAAGCAGCTGGCCAAGTCTGAGCATCTCATGTTACCCCCTGCACTTGCCAGGAGTGATTCTTGAGTGTAGAACCAGGAGTAGTCCCTGAGCACAGCTGGATGTGCTCCCCAAATTAATCTTTGTCTTTGAGAGACTCACAGTCACAGACAGTCATGAACTGGTACAGAAATATTTATTGGCAGCAGGTGAGATGTACCCTAGTCTAGGTGTGCAGTTGTGGTAGAGTCGCCAGGGTAGCAGGGCATGACTGAAGTGGGCAGTCTGTGCTGACCCTGGGACACATGCATGTCTGTCTGGCTTTGTTTCTGTCCTTCAGTACGTCTCTAGGTACCATGAACTAGTTCATGCCATCTAGAGTCTGAGATAGTTTGTTCCTTGGGGGCTGTCCTTCCTGCTGGAAGTGGAGACATCCATCAGTCAGACTTTTGCAGTGAGCGATTAGAGGGGGAAAATCCACACAGTCCTCATACCCCATCAGACTCCCAGCAGCTTCTTGGGTGCCCCAAGGAGCTCCCTGCATTAGTAGAGGCCGAGTCCCGAGTCCCCTTGCAAAGGATTGTGGCTCTGGGATTCCCTAAAGCTCCTGTTTACTTGTGTTGATTTTTGTTTTGTTTTGTTTTGGGGTCACACCCAGCATTGCTCAGGCTGACTCCTGGCTCAGCACTCAGGGACCACTCCTTGTGGGCTCAGGGTGCCTATGGGATGCCAGGAACTGAACCCAAGTCAGCCATGTGCTAGGCAAATGCCCTACCCACTGCACTATCATCCTGGCCCTTGCCTTGATTTTTTTCATTTGACATTTTATCATGCTGTCAACATGATACAAGGAACCAGGTATGAATAATAGACTCCAAACAGCGTCTCATATATTCTACCCATTAAAATGAGTTAGGGGTTCGAGATAATACAGCAGGTAAGATGCTTGCCTTACCAGCAAGGCTTACCCAGGTTTGGTCCTTTGAGTACCACCAGGAGTAACCCCCAAGCATAGAGTCAGGAAGAAGCTTTGAGTGTCACCAGGTGTGGCCATGTAACAAACACCCAAAGATTAATTAATTAGAGTAAGAGTTAATGCTGGATTTGGGAACTGAGCAGCAAGACTGCTCCCGAGCCACTGTCTTTGCTCCGTGCACCCTGCAGCCCCCAGAGAATACCTTCCTCTGTGGCATCGGGGCAAGTAGGGGTTCTGTCAGCAACCTAGCTGCCTTCCCGGGGGTTTGCTCAGAGGTTGTCTCCTGATGTTGGGCTGCCCTGAATGACAAGTAATCTCTGCCTCTCAGAAAGTTTGACCCAGCAGGCAAGCATGAAGGCAGGGCTGGGCCAGCTCCCATGTCACCGAGCCCAGTGGAGGCCAGAGAGGGACACTGGCAGGGTCTGGGAAGCCCAGTCCCTCCCCCATCACCTCCGTCACCTAGACGACTGGTGCTCCTGGCCACCCTCTCCAGCTGTGGTTTTGCAGCCTCCCGGGCCCTTCGGTTGAGTCATTCAAACCTCACCCAGTCTGGGTCTGACCCTGGTCATCAGGGCTTGTCCCTGTGCCCGTGCCCGGGCTGTGGCCCTCCATTGTGTGGGCTCCTCCTGAGACTCGACTCTGTCACCGCGTCACCTCTGCTGTTCTGTCTTGCAGGTGCCCAGCCCCCGGGGCTGCCCTACTACGCCGACCCCGGAGGACCAGGGCTGACTCCTGCGGGCAGCACCGTGGCCATGGCTTACCAGGTGCAGCCACACTCCCCGCAGGGTGGCACCGCCTACCCGCCGCCCCCATCCTACTGCAACACCCCACCGCCCCCCTACGAGCAGGTGGTGAAGGCCAAGTAAGGCTGCCACCCACCTGGTGACCTGCAGGGGACACAAGCAGAGACTCCACTCTCGCACCCCTGTCCGTCTGCTTCCAGGAACCATCTTGTGAGCCACTCAAGACAAACGCTCTTGGGGCTCCAGAGCCAGCGTGGCCCAAGCTGCCCCAGGAGGACCAACGTCCACCCATCCCGTGTCTCCCTGTGGCCTGTTTCTGCTAGGACAGAGGGGATCCTCCTGGGAGAGCGCCCGGCCCTCAGGAGAGCCTGGAAGGTAGAAGAGGCTTCGAGGGCTGTGCCGGAAGCAGCAGGACAAAGGGGCCTGGGGTCTTCTCTGTCTCGCTTACTTAGAAGCCGATAGAATTGGTCCATGGGGCGAGCCTCTTAGCACGTTTCTTTCTCCACCGGTTTCCCGGAGAGGGGGGGAATCTACATCGCTGGGAGAACTACAGCGATGTGAATCCAGCCCCAGGCCCAGCTGAATGTCTGCCTGAAAACCAGAGGAAAACACCTAAATTCAGAGATCGCTTCCTGCCCTGCCCAGAGACCTGGCATTTTGTGAGCTTTAATCTGACCTGGAGGAGAGACATTTGCTCTCTGTGGTGTGTGTGGGGCCCTGTCTTCCAAGGGCCTCTGCTCGTTGCTCAGATTCTTCACACCCTTCCCTGTGGCAGCTTCCTGGCAGAGGCGTGTTGGCAAAAGGTCACAGCAGCCTCGTGTCCGTGCCAGCCATGGCCCGTACTCTGACCTCACCTGGTGAGGAGGCTGAGGTAACAGACAGAGAAATAGGAAAGTGAAGTCAGGACTGTGGGTAGGTCTCTCCGAAGGTAGTGAAACAGCCATGAGGTCCATGTCAGCAGGAAGCTGTGGTTGGCAAGGCAAGCCCGGGTCCGAAACTTCTCCCTCCACCACCATCGCAGACCTGGACAGTGAGCAGAGTTAGTGGTGCTGACATTGTGGTTAGCCTGCCCAAGACAGGAAGGGGACGGGAAGGGGAGAGTGACATAGTGACATAGATCCCTGTATGTGTAGTAGTGGGACAGGGCGGGGGTGGGGTCTAGGGGGTGGGGGTGGGGGCTAAGATTTAAACAAATTGGAACGAAACCAATTGGAACCTCTTGAAGAAGTGCAGCTCCTTGAACTTGAGCAATAAGTGTCTTACTGAGGTGGATGCTGGGTGTTTCCATCCTTCGACATCGTGAATCTGCCTCCCCTGCTCTGCTGAGGCAGCTTTTAGGGGAGCAGGGAGGAATTCCAGCTGAGGTCGGAGCCTCTGCCCAGACTCACCTGCCTTAGAGGACAGAGAATCTGGGAGGATCCAGCGGTTCCACAGGAAGCGCCCCTGGGATCACAGATGCTGCTGCCAGCTCGGGGACCACCCTCAGGTGACTCTGGAGCCCTGCCCCTGACAGACCGCCCATGGCCAGGCAACAGCTCGCCAAGGCAACAAAGCACAACATTTGCTGTTTACAACCAGGGACAACGACAAGGCTCCAATCTCTCCTCCAGGTCATTTGTTTTGCCTTTTCAACTTCAGTTTTACCCTTTCCTTTTCTAGTCTGAAAGCACACTCAAGCTTGCCTGGACTCCACCCAGGTGCCACTGAAGAGCACCCAAATGTCCATCCCAAATCTTATTTATCTTTTTGGAAGAAAATGGTCTTAACAGACTGGACACATTGAGGTTAGTGCTGAACAGTTTTCTGTGCCCACGTTTGTCTAAGCTGAGTGTGGCTTCCCCCTGGGACCTGAGTGAGAGCCCTGCAGCATCCACTCCTGTGTGTGGAGATCCCACTGGGTTGCATCCCCAGGTGTCTCCTGCCCTCTGAGCTGCTGTGGCTGGTGCCATCTGGCTCCTACAGGTCCAGGTGCTTAAGCGTGAGCTTGGAGAGGGTCCATGCATGTTTTTCCTTGGTGGTACTTGGCTCATTCCTGTCTCTTTCGTTCTATTTTGATAGGGTTCTGTTTCCTATGTATGCAAAATAAAAATAAATTTGGGCATGTGCTTTGCTTTTCTGAGTGGGGGAAGGGGAGAGAGGGAGGATATATAGCAAGTGGAGAGGGGCCAAGGAGTGCTACAACCCTTCTGGAGGGAACCAGAAATTAGATTCCATCCAACATATAAGGTACTTTTGGCTCATCAACACATTTTTTTTAAATTTATTTATTAATTGAATCACGGTGGGAAAAGTTACAAAGCTTTCAGGTTTAAGTCTTGGTCATGCATATATCAAACACATTTCCCTTTACCAATACTTATTTTTCACCACGAAGAACCCCAAGAAACCACCCCCTTCCCCACCCTCCCAGTGCCTGTGAGGCAGATGAATTCTATTTAACACTCTATCTACTTTGACTAGATTCATTGTTTTGACAAAAGATGCACCATTATAATTTCATTATAATGCACCCCCAAATCAGACATGCTGAAAAGGCATTGTGAAATCATTTGTTTTCTACAGCTAGTTACAAGAATTAAACGATTTTGGATTTCTGCTATTTTACTTATTAACCCTGGAAGTATTTCTGCTGAGAGTCATATGATTAAGAGATTGGTTTCTGTGCTCTGGAGCCATGGCTGTGCTGGAGAGCCGCTCGTGGGGGGCAACTGGTGACCTCGATAGGGTGTGAAGGACGAGCCGGGAACGCCCCCCTTCCCATGAGGTTTTAGTCGCCCCATCACGACCGGCTCATACCTGGCTTTCCACAGAGCTCCCAAGCGGCTGTCATCTTTCTTTCCAGAGGGAAAAAGGCAGAAGGGATTCTTCAACACATTTTAAGTTGAGTTGATGAGTTGGTTTGGGGCCGTACCTGGCTGTGCTCACAGCACACACCTAGGTCTGTGCTCAAGGACTGCTCCTGGGAGAGCTCAGTGAGTCCTAGAGGGTGCCAGGGATTGGACCCTAGCCTGCTGTACTCTAACCCCTTGTAAGTTTTGAACTAATGAGGTGATTGGTAAGACAGAAGCATGAGTTAGATAATCTACCAGTTGGTATTGATATTAGTTAACCTGAGACCTGGCCCGGAGTGATAGCACAGCGGTAGGGCATTTGCTTTGCACATACAGCCAACCAAGTCGAGTCAGGTTCGATTCCTCCGCTCCTCTTGGTTAGCCCAGCAAGATACCGAGAGTATCTCGCCCATGCAGCAAAGCCTGGCAAGCTACCCATGACGTATTCAATATGCCAAACACAGTAACAACAAGTCTCAAAAAAATGGAGACGTTACTGGGCCTGCTTGAGCAAATCGATGAACAACGGGAGGACAGTGACAATGACAGTAAGAGCTCAGCTCTGAAGGGCTGGAGAGAGAGTGCAGAGGTGAGAAGTTGCCATGTATACTGAGCCCTGTGTGGTCCTTGGCACCACATATGGTTCCCCCAGGAACTGCCAGCAGCGAGAGGGGTCGGAAATTGCTCATAGAGTCTTCTCTCCAAACTCTGAAAATCACAGACAGTGATTCTGGAAGCCCCCAAAATCACTTTCTAGAGACCTAGACTTCATGGGACAGAATAGGACATTTACATCCAGACTGTATCTTTGACATTTACATCCAGACTGTACCTTTGAAAAGGCTGTGCACAGCCCTTAAGGTAATAATCCCTCGTGTTTTTGTGGAAGAAGTATCTTTAAAGTTTATTAAGGTGTATGTTCTTAGATACACCAGACCCATGCTCCCATAAAAATACACTCTCATAAAAATAGACACAGAAAGTATGTGTATAACAAACCACATGGTAAACTTTATTAACTATATTAGAAAAGATCAATATTTATATTTAACACAATATAGCAAAATACCATTTCAAAATAAGCAACATTTAAAATAAACTTCATATTCTTTTTCAACACTCCTGCATCCTGTGTGAAGCAATTGCATCTCTAGCCACCTGAAGTCCTGGGAATTGTATGCGATGGACAGGTACAGAGCACATGCCTATGAGGAAAATGCTTGGATGTGATGCAGATTGCTGTAACGCATCCCGAGTCGTCTGGTTGCAAATCAGCAATTCAGGAAGTTGAAGAGAGAATGACCCGTTGGTGCCCTTAGGCTTGTGTGAGAGGTGCAGTGCTCTGGCCCACGAATGCTGGCTGTGACTCCCGGGAAGGGCTCCCAGCAGTGCCTGGAAACCCAGGGAAGAAGAGACAGAAGGGGCCGCGGGCCTTCAGAGCCGCCTCCTGGCCTGGTAGAGGATTCAGGGTCAGCGCCGGGCTCTTCTGCCCTGAGTGTCCAGCCAGTTCGGTTGCTGTGTTGCTTTCCCAAGGAGACTCAGCCATTCTGGAAGAAGGGAGGTCAATTCAGAATCGAGGGGGCGGGCAGGGCAGCAGCACCCCCTCCTCCCTCTGTCGCGCCAGGAGCTGCCCCAGACCGAGCAGCTGGAGACATCTAAGATGGATCTTGCAGAGACTGTCCCCAAGTCCCCCCAATCTGCATAGACCACTGAGAAAGGCCCGGGTGGAGGCAGAGGTGTCTGGGCTGTCCCAGACCCCTGTGAGCTGGCTGTGGGGCTGCAGGATGTCAGTGGCCATGGGATGGGCAGTCTGGAGGGTGGGAGTCCCAAGCCCAGCTGGCATCTCCCTAACCAGTCATTTTATACGCAGCATTCACCTGCTGCCTGGTCCCAACCAGGGACAGAAGCCGCTGTGCTACTGACCTACTGCACCCTGTCTTTCCTGCTTCCCACCCGGGACAAGCCATCACTCCCTTCGCCAGCTCTGCATCCCTGTGCTCCTGGTTCCCCAGATCTGGGCCTGCTACCCAAAGGTGCAGGGGACAGCCGATAGTCTGTTTCCCCGACCTGAGGGCCAGGTCATGTGTGTTCAGTCTAAGGTCCCAGGGTCTTGGGCCCCAAGTCTGTCTCTAGAAAGGGGCTCCAGGACTGGGACAGTGAAGGTCCACCCTAGATGCCCAGGCTGAAGTGCCAGGGCTTTAGGAGAGGCTAGCGTGGTAGGTGGGGATGCGGGAGGGAGGGCCGTCATGCCCCTGCACCCACAGAGGCTCAGCTTGAGTTCCCACACACACATACACACACACTTG